CTTTCCATCGTCATCCTGCCTGTAACTTGGCGTAGAAATGATGACTGACTTATGGCACTGTTTCTGAACATAAACGTCGCCCTTGATGCCTGATCCTCTTTCTCAGTTCATCTTCATCAGAGGAGCTGTGATCGTAGCTTTCCGCCACGTCTTCCTTATCTGACACATCTGCTTCCAAGTCACCATCTGCTTCCTCACCTTGGAAAATCAAATCCAAGTTTGCTGCCATAACCTCAGTCCCTGCAGTGGCAGGTCAGGTGCATTTATAACCCCATGAAGAGCTGGAAGGGCCATGATGATACTCATTAGAGAAGCAGATGTTACGTTGTGTTGAGGACACTCCATATTGTACGAAGGTGTATGGTGCACATACAGAGGTCATATAGAGGTCAGAAGGGGCCTCGACACAGACACATATGTATATACACTGTATGTATGCATTTATTTCTAAATATTTTGGTAATTTTATACATTTTGAGTTACTTTGGGGATTAAAAAAATCATTGAATCTCAGCCTAAAACAATTACAATAAGGTATTTTTATTGATGGTGAATTTGACACAACTTTATGTTAAATAGGGATGAATAGTTAATTTGCAAATTACAAAGTAATGCCATCTTTATGCAATATACAAGTTAATTGTGCCACTCCTGGTTAATTTATACTCTGGCTAATGTTCTGTTTGTTCTCTGCATGCGCACGACACAGGAATACGTTGATGTGAAGAGACGGATCTCCACTCCGACTTGCTAACCTGTGCTCTTCAGGACGAGTCATTATCGTCAACGGGCGTGATCAATCACTGCTGGGTCATCAGCAAACCCGGTGATTGATTTGTGCTGAATTTGGCAGGACAGTCATGTGTCAGCAGAGGAGAAAGTACTGAAGACACATTCTTGGGCTCGGGTGTTTAGCAGCCGACACCACTGTCTTTGGATTTACAGTCGCAGAGTGAGGTTTTCAGACCAAGTAGAGGAGCTGTACTAACCAAGTATATATTTAAAACACTAGCATGCATGCAAGAAGTACTAAATGTTTTTAAATTATTAAAAAGTTACCGTGTTAATGTACAACTTCCTGCCTCCAATCGCTAATAGAAGCATTTGGATCAACACACGTAGACTTATTTTTTAATAATTTTACTGATGTCGACTAGAACTCTGATTCCAGGACTGCCTTTTCCCAAACACTCCCACCACGTACCCGCCTCTGCTTAAAATAACGCTTGGCTGTCACACTGACACGATGGCCGCAGAAGCCTGACCACAGAGGAAAGCATTGCGTGCCGTACACACGGACCTTTTGTTTGCAGGATTCTGTGGTTTTCTCGGGGTGAGATGGACGCCATGTAAGACGATAACATTTTAAAGAGCTTTGGAGCTGCGCCAGTGTCAGGAGGGCAGCTTTCTCTCGCTCAGAATGGCATGTTTGGCAGCAGCACATTCCCCAGCGGAGAAGTCAAATGGCTCTTGTTTTCCACCATGTCTGCTATTATTAAAGTCATCATGTGAAATATGGCTTTACATGGCCATGTTTGATGTGCTGAAGTCAGAGCAAAACAAGGCCATGAAATATGCTCCGTCAGCCTCCACATACCAGGAGTCCAGATGCTAGGATTCTGTTAGATGCTTTTTACTCTCGTGAGGGGGCTTGTACTTTTTGTTACCTTGTCCCATGCATCGTAAATCCAGAGCTTCAAATGTCAAATCCAAATGTGACGCATGCTCTCCAACAAACGGGTAACGTGCGCTATACGAGAAGCACATCTCATTTTGCTTCTGTCTTCAAGCTTCGAGAGGAAAAGCTTTAAATTACCGCTACACCTGCAATGTTGTGGTTTTCTCTGCTTTTAAATGGACCTAAATGTTGTGAAACTTTCTGTCATTCTTTGTCTAAATCAAAACATGTACGTACCTAAAGTTACAGCACGTTTAAACAATACAGTTTATATATAATATAGCTGTTTTTGTGCTGTTTCAACACATCATAAATCAAAACGTTAAGCTCTTTCAGAACAATCCTGCTATGACTTTTGGTATTGTTATAACTTTAGCTTTTTTTAAATATTTAGCCTTTTCTGCCATTTTTTTCCCCTCATAGAAAATGAACTGAGCTCATCCTTCAGATCTTTAGATGTTTACAACCTTTTACTGCTCCTTTCACATTTTGTTCAGGTTCAGCTTCTTTTAGCTTCCTTGTGCAAATGTAAACATTTTTTTTCAGCTAATTTTAGCTGTTTTGTGCTCCTTTCTGATTCTTTCTGTCAAATATATTTTAGTGTTTTTTTTCTAACTTCATTCTGTTAATTTCAGCTTGTTATGTTCCTTTCAGCTTATTTCTGCAAGTTTCAGATTTTCCACTATTTCAGCTACTATTTAGCTAGTTTCTGCTAATTTTAGCCTTTTCAGCTAATTCCACATTTTTTGTACTCATTTAAACTTTTTTCGGCCTAATTCAGCAAAAATGTGCTCTACTTCCTTCTGGTAGTTTCTTATTCTTTCTGAAATTTTAGCTACTTTTCATCTGTTTTTGTTGTTGTTGTTTTGTGCTATTTTCAACTTTTTTAAGATAAATTCCACTTTTTTGTGCTCATTTCTGCTTTTTTCAGCCTAATTGGGCAAACGTGTTCTTTCTACTTTCTTCTGATTTTAGCTTGTTCTGCCTTTTCAGCTACTTTTTAGCTATTTTTTTTTGTTAATTTCAGCTCTTTTTAAGATAAATTACAGTTTTTCATGGTAATTTTTGCTACTTTCAACCTAATTAACTTATTTATGCTAATTTCAGCTTGTTCTGCTCCTTTCAACTTTTTTCTGCTAGTTTCAGCTTTTTCTGTTATTTTGCTGTTTTATGCTAATTTTAGCCTTTTCAGCTAATTCCATTTCTTTAGCTCATTTCTTCTTTCTGCTTCCTTCTGGTAGTTGAAGCTTCTTTTCAGCTAATTCCATTTCTTTAGCTCATATCAGCTCTTTCTGCTTCCTTCTGGTAGTTGAAGCTTCTTTTCAGCTAGTTTTCTGCTTTTTTTTTTCAAATTTCAGCTTATTTTTAAGCTGATTTCCTAATTTTTGTGCTTATTTTTGCCAATTTAAACCTAATTCAGCAAAAATGTGTTCTTTCTGCTTTCTTCTGCTAATTGAGGCTTGTTCTTCCATTTCAGTTACAACCCAGTATGTTTTTTTTTAAGCTAATTTCATCTGTTTTTCAGCAAGTTCTTCAGCAACAAGCATTCACACTGCATTTTCACAGAAAATGTAATTTGTCAAGTTTTGTAATAAAGTGAATCTGTTTTGTCTTTGAAATAGAAAAATAAACATCAGTCAGTGTTTCAAGTTAAGTGAGAGGACGTCCAGAGCGAGGGTCAGCTGGGTTCACCTGAATCTGCATTTCTTTTACTAAGTGGCTCAAACAGCAGCTTTCAGGGGACATGTGTTATTTGCATGAATATGTTTATGTTTTCAACTGCATGTGCTGCAGAAAGAGTAGCGTTGCTTGTATTAATATTCTGTAAGTTGTACTTTAAATGTTTTTAGATGTTGGCAATTGTTGTTTTTTAAATTCTGTTATTTTGCCTTCCATTGTTTTCTGTTTCATTTCCCCCCAGTTTGGTTCATGACATCTCCCACTTTTTCCAGAGTCGGTTTTTGCTCCTCTGTTCTGCCACACCTTACACCTGTCCCCAACGACTGCAGCCCCGTCTAAAGATAATGTGGACAGGTGTGAGGTGTGGCAGAACAGAGGAGCAAAAACTGACTCTGGAAAAAGTGGCAGATGTCAGAACTGTTGGGTTTTAAGGGCAAATAAATGTGACAGTCGTCAGCATAAAGCAAGAAGAAGAAAAAGATAACTCGGCTCCTTTCTGTTCTGGGGCTGTGTTGCTGTGTCTGTGAAGGCATCTCATGGCATTCTGGAGCAAAATGTGCTTCCCAATGTGGAAGATCTCATCTGATGGAAACATCTGAACATCATCTCAAAGACCTTTCAAACTTGAGACAATTGGCTCATGAGACCTGTGGACAGGTGCAGAAATCTTTCAACGTTTCAGAAATCGCTTGATTGCAGGGTTGCCATCACTTCCATCCATCCATCCATCCATCCACACATCCATCAATCCATCCACACATCCATCCATCCATCCATCCACATATCCATCCAC